TGGGAAGGGGAAGGGGAGGGCACAGGGAGGGAGGGAGGGAGGGGAGCCCCCCCCCCAAGGCCTCTGGGGGGGAAAGAGACAAACAAGCAAAGGGAAGACACCAGCTGAGGCTGCCTGCCGCCCCAGAGGGGCCAGACGAGGAGGAGGAGGAGGACTGGAGCCACAGAGAAGCCAGGCACTGCCCCATGAGGGGGGGGGGAGGAGTTCACAGTGCACCAGGAGGCTGGGGGCAGAGATGGAGGGTGGGGAAACCTTTGACAGTAGCAGCCCCACCCCAGAAAGAGCTCTCTCTCTCTCTCTCTCCCCCCCCCCCCGGGACTCTGGAGTTTGTTTTACGATTTTGGGGGGTTTTTTTGGGGGGAGCGACCCTGAAGGAGGGAAGCGTCTGCCTAACAGGAAAAGGCACCCAATTCCAGAGGGGGGGGCAGGGCTTGGGTTGCATAATTAAAGCAGTCCCGTTAGGTGGTTTCCCTGAAACCCAGTTTCCTTGATGGAGGCAGGGGGACCCAAATGGCCAGATGCTGGAGGGGGGGGGGGGACGCTTTCTGTGGAGGGAGACCGTCTGCCATTAGAGGCAGCACAAAAGACTCCCCAAGAGAGAGGGACTCCCGGCTGCCGGCTGCCGGCTGCCGGCTGCCTCTCCCCAAAGGCACCCACGAATTCAGCAGTGCCAGTCCAGCCCAGCACCCGGGAGCCGTGCATTTCGCAGGGCATTCTGGGGAGCCCTTTGTGTGTGAGGCAAGAAACCCCCTCCCTGCTGCCGAAGCCAACGGCTGGCTGATACCAAAGTGCCCCCTCTGTAAAGGAAAAGCAGCCTTAAAAACTAAATGCCCCCTACGCGAGGGCACGAGACCCCAGCAAGGTAGACTGCCAAGCCAGCCACCCATGGCGTGGGCAACAACGGGGCCAGGGGCGGCCCTCGGAAGATCGGCCATAATACTGCGTGGCACCAGTACCGCTGGACGAGCCTTGGACCACCTACAGGACAATATCACCCCCCAGGAAATGACCGATGCTACCATGAAATTATTCGGAGACCATCTTCTTTTCATGGAGCACTTTATTTCTGCTTTTGCTGTTATTGAATGGTTTTATTGTTTTATCTTGTTTTTATGCATGGGCTCTGTGCCCTCTTGTAAGCCGCCCTGAGCCCAGGGGTGGGGGGCGCTGCCTCTGCCTCTGGGCTCCCTGGTCCCATCCTCTCCCTCCCTCTCTCCCCCTCTCCCTGAGTACAGAAGTGGGCGGGCACCTCCTGCTCTGGAGCCACCCTGGATGTCTATGAGCCCGGCACAGCCCTGCCGGAAGTGGCCAGGATCAGCCCCCGGCCCCCGCTCAGTGCAGCCACCCTAGAGGAGACTTCTGCACCCCACTGCACTGCCACCCTGCCGGCCTTGGCCGAGGAAAGCGATGGATCTGTGCTGGAGCCGGCCTACGGCCACCTCTCCATCGACACCGTCACCGTGGCAGACGCCTGCGGCCTGGAGCTGGAGGACTACCGCTGCCTGCCGTTGGACGACGGGGGCTCCACGGAACGCCTGCTGCCAGCCAGGCAGATACCTCCTCCTCCGAGGGACTTCTGGGACTCGGGCTCCTCCGGACCCTGGCGCAGAGACACCTGTCTGGCCCAGCTGCAGGCCGGAACCCTGCCGGAGCACCGGAACACCCTCGATGGGGAGCCAACCCGAGGGGGCCCCGTGAGCGCCTCCTCTCCGCCCTCCACCCAGCCTCTCTGCCGAAAGCCGCTCTCTCCCATCTGGGCGGCTGACGGAGACCCGGGCGACGGTCTTGACCTGGACACCGTGGACAGCGGCTTCGCTGACTCCGACTGTGGCAGCCCCGTCGTGGACTGCGAGTTCCGGGGGATGCATCCCGGCTGCACCGCCCCTGGGGAGGAGGAGGAGGGGACCACCTTCCTCCCCAGCTACGTCAAGCAGTGGGTGGCCTGCCACCTCCCCCCGGCCGAGCACACCTAGAGGCACAGGAGCCCGAGCCTCCAAGGGGCCCGCAACAGCCCCCCCCTCCTCTGAGCTGCTCTGCTGCAACCCTGACTCTTCTCAGTGGTGCTGACTCTGCCTCCTTCACTGACTCCCCCCCCCCCCCCCCCCAGTCTCCTGGTTTGTACCCTGCCCTGCATGACGGGAGAATAAAACACCCTCCATTCCAGAAGGGAAGCCCTCTGAGCCTGTCGTAGCGAAACTGGGCCGGGACGCCCTTGGGACTGGCAAGGCGCATTTCTGCAGCCGGGAGGGCGGCCTGCCTGCCTGCCTGCCTGCCTGCCTGCCCTCCCTGGAGTTGGGAAATACCTGGAGTTTGGGGTGGGGGGTGGGGTGGAGCCTGGGGCGGCCAGCATCCTCCCCGTGGTGGGTGGGCGCGTGCTGATCTCCCACTCTGACACCCCTGGCCTCCAGACAGCAGCACGAGAACTCCGCGCAGGGCGGCCGTGGGCCAGACCCCAGCACAGGGTCCTTCTGCCAGCCCTGCGGTCCCGCCGCGGGTCCTGGAGAGGGGTGGGGTGGGGTTAGGGCTGCCAGCGGGGGCTTGGGAAACACCTGGAGACTTTGGGGGTGGAACCCGAAGAGCGCAGGGTCTGGGGGGGGGACTTTATTGGTGGGTATGATTCCACAGAGACCATCTCCCAAAGTGGCCCCCTTTTCTGCCGGGGGACTGATCTCTGTTGCCTGGAGATCAGCGGTGGTCCCGGGAGATCTCCAGCCACCACCTGGAGGTTGGCAGCCCTCGTGGCTGTGCTGGGCTGGGCCGGGCGGAGGGGACAGCCCGTCGGGGCGAAGACTCCAGCGCGCTCTTCTCTCTGCTGCCGGCAGGCGGCGCAGGCGCGGGGAGAGAGCCGCCGTCTCTGGCCGGCCGCGGGAGCGAAGGGGCGGTCGGGCGGCGCCCCCTGCAGGGTCGGCCGGGGAGGGCCCCAGAGGAGGGCTGGGGCGGGGGGACGGTGGGCCCGGCGCACGGGCACCCGGGCAGGCGGAGGAGAGGAGCCGCCCCTGGAGGGGTCGGCGGGCCGCGGGGCCTCCCCCCTCCCCCGCTTCCTCCCGGGGCCTCGGCCGGGCTCCTGCAGGGGGGTTTTTTTTTGGGGGGGGGGGTTCCTCGGGTCCCCCG